CAGCATTGGGTTTGTCCCTGTGATATTCTGTAATAGCTCATGAATAAAGTCCTGTTTAGTGTGTTTCATTCTTGCTTTCTCCTCTGTCCTCCATTCCAAGGCTACATTCACTACCAGCCTTCAAAGGACCGCCTGCGTCCTCATCTCCTTGAGATGCTGGTGCAGCTGCCTCCTCACTCCGTCACTGAGGTCACAGTGCAGTTTGAACGAGCCTTGCTCAAATGGACAGAATACACTCCAGATCCCAACCACGGCTTTTACGTTGGGTAGGACTCTTCCTTCTACATTTTATTGCATTAAGCATTGGTCAGTGTCATGTAGTGACCTGAATCCTGTTCGACTCTTCAGGTTTTGAATGGTAAATATGGAAAAACAAAGCTCAGCATCTGTTTTTGATTAAAATGACATTTGCAAATTGCAAACAAAATGGAAAAGAGCCACTATTGTTTTGAGACTGTACACTTACAGGCTTCATTTGGCTGTAATTTTACTAAACATGGAACAGAGATCTGTTTTATTTTGTGTGGAAACTGTTCTTTAACATTCTTGCCACTGATTTTGAACAGAAATTTAAACATTAAAAATGAGGAGATTTAACTCATCTATTTGTTTATTATGAAATATTATTTCAGATCATCCGTGATTAGTGCTCTTGTGCCAAGTGTCGTTGCCATGGACACCAACAACACTCAAGAGCGGCCCTTGTTCAGCAGCTTGTGAGTACCTGCCAGCTCAGCTTGCTAATTGTGAATAGCTTGATAGCTAAATATAGACATTTTATGTTTAAAATGTGGGATGAAAAGAGTTGCATGTGAGAATATCTCCTTTTAATTTCATTTGAGCTCTTAATATCTGAGAATATATGAAATATAAATATTATAAACCATCAAATCTTATTAATCCAAATATTAATAATGGATGTTCTTAACCAGCATATGTCACCATGGCTCATCTTAGTTCTAGCTGGTTCTGCTCCCATGCTGAATTCATCAGACCGAACCACAAGGAGGTGCAAACATTCACTCACAAGAGGACTCCTTTCTTTAGCTAAGGGATTTTAACCTCTACTGCACACATTATGAGAGCAATTAAAAAAAAAATTGATTCACTTTTCTTGATTATGAAATTGAAAAGTATTTTTTAATAATAACGTGTGCAGGGGTCCTTTTAGGGTATGTTGCCCCGAGGCAACATTGTGTGACAATAGGAAGAAATTATATGAACCCATGTTCCATGAAGTGGTAAGATCTGGCTTGTGACTGGCTAAATCCATTCCACTGACCTACAATGTTGCCTCTAGGCAACAAACATAGTTCGGCAAATTCTCATAACAAAAAAAAATGATACTGAATGTTAAAAAAGAGGTTTAAAAGTGTCCATTATGATAGTATGACCAAATACATCGATTTACTCAAACTCTTCCCTTTATTATTAACCCTGTCGTTGTCGTTAAATATGTGTAATGTTAGTGTAAAGCGAGGAAAATGGGTGTGTTGCCTAGAGGCAACAGCGTGCAATGGGGGTTAAACTACCCAGTGTAATGATCTATTTAGTTTAGAAACACTTACAGATTGAGAGATTATTTCTGTTCTCTCTAAACTACAAGAACAGACCACATTACACAGAGTGGCTCAGTGGGGGAGGATCCTGTGGAAACTCTTATGCAATTATGGCACTGTTTTTTTTTCCCCTTCGATTCAGCTTCCCAACCAAAGAGGAGTCAAGCTACTTCGTGCGGGTGTACACCGAGCCTTTGCTGGTTAATTTGCCCACACCCGACTTCAGCATGCCCTATAATGTGATCTGCCTCACCTGCACAGTGGTAGCAGTCGGCTACGGCTCCTTCTACAACCTGCTTACGCGCACCTTTCAGGTGGAGGAGCCCAGCCAGCCACTGGCTAAACGCCTGGCCAACATCATCCGTCGCATAAGGGGGGTGCCACTGCTCTGAATCACCAGCTGCAGGACAGGAATCCAACCGTCTGAGCTCCTTAATAGGCAGCTAGATGAATCACAACAATGGAACGGATATCTGTGGAGGTCTGAACAGCTTTAAAAAGGACTGTGTTTTGGAAGAACATGAAGCCAAGGCTGATGTTTTTGGAGCTCAGGCAAGATGAAAGGAACTCGTGAAGAATGTCGGCACTAAAGGCCACTTGAATTCTTTCCCCGGCGCTAAGAGGGAGGAACGTGATGTTATTGGTCTGGGGTTTTGACTTTTTGTTTACACTGGAGAAAACAATTTCTTGTGTTTTTCAAACATGAGGGACAAATTTAAAATTTAACTGCTTTAAAAAAAAAGTTTCTCACTCCACTCATCTGGAAGAGGCACTCGCAGCAGAGTGAAATATGAAACCCTCTTGATTAATGGCATGTGGGCCTGACCGAGCCATTAGTCATTCTGCAGTACATCAGAGCAAATCCAGTGAAGATGGAGAGGAAGGTCCAAAAATTAAGCAGATACTTTCCATTATGGCTAATGCACTGAAATTGTTGTTGATGTGGCATAAGCAACAATGCTTTTTGTTTATTTCTGCTTTATTAAGATGCTTTAATCTGTGATCTGCTTTTTGTTTGAACTATTCAGATGTGAGTAAGGCTAAATGAACCTGACAGCCAACTTAATTAAAATGGAAAACTTATTAAAATGGCCATTTTTTAATTTATGTAGCAGAGATGCATGACAGGGCTTTTAAATTGTCAAGCTGTACTCAGTACTCAATACAGTTCTATTCACTGTTTCTCCCCAGACAATAAATTAATCCAAAGTCTGAAATGTTTAGAGAACAGTTCGGACAAGGCAGGTTGTTCACTACATTCACATGACCAGGTTGAAGTGGCTCAAATCCGATTTTTTGCCCTAATGTGATTTAGATCTGATGTTTTCAGAGCTGTGTGGACACAAATCTGATCTTTTCAAATCTGATCTGAGCCACTTTCATATGTGGTCCTAGTTATAATAAAATTAACACCCTCTTATAGGCAGAAAACAAAAAAGAATTAAATAGACAGTAACCTGTGTATTTAATTTATCTTCTTAGTGTTCCCAGCAAAAAACAAACTATTGAATAAAACATATTGAAACACCTTCAGATGTCTAGTTCATGGTATTCCAATCTACACTATTGAATAAAATAACCTTTCCAAACTTTTGAACATTAGTGTATTACTGTCTTATTAAGTTCTTAAGTATAGAGTAGGAATTTTAAACAATATTGTCTGAATTATGTCTTATATCCAGTGCAAACTGTGTGATTTCCATACTGTCCCCACGAAGAGAACATTCTGAGATTCTGCAGCCAGACAGCCTAAAGATTTACACCATTTACCAACCTGTACCTAATGTGAAGATGCCGTAGAAGATGAATAGTAATAATACATACAGTCACTTGAGTTAAGGAGCCTAAATCCATATTTTTTTTAAGTAGGTTAATCTTCACACAATGTACAGGTACAAAATACACAGATCAGGCATAACGTTATGACCACCTCCTTGTTTCTACGCTCATTGTCCATTTTATCAGCTCCACTTACTATATAGGTGCACTTTGTAGTTCTACAGTTACAGACTGTAGTCCATCTGTTTCTCTGCATACTTTGTTAGCCCCCTTTTACCCTGTTCTTCAGTGGTCAGGACCCCCATGGACCCTCACAGAGCAGGTACTATTTGGGTGGTGGATCATTCTCAGCACTGCAGTAACACTGATGTGGTGGTGGTGTGTTAGTGTGTGTTGTGCTGGTGTGAGTGGATCAGACACAGCAGTGCTGCTGGAGTTTTTGAACACCTCAGTGTCACTGCTGGACTGAGAATAGTCCACCAACCAAAAATATCCAGCCAACAGCGTCCTGTGTCCACTGATGAAGGACTAGAGGATGTCCAACACAAACAGTGCAGCAGCAGATGAGCTATCGTCTCTGACTTTACATCTACAAGGTGGACTGGCAAGGTAGGAGTGTCTAATAGAGTGGACAGTGAGTGGACATAGTGTTTAAAAATTCCCGCAGCACTGCAGTGTCTGATCCACTCATACCAGCACAGCACACAATAACACACCACCACCACGTCAGTGTTACTGCAGTGCTGAGAATGATCCACCACCCAAATCGTACCTGCTCTGTGAGGGTCCATGGGGGTCCTGACCACTGAAGAACAGGGTAAAATGGGGCTAACAAAGTATGCAGAGAAACAGATGGACTACAGTCTGTAACTAGTAAGTAGTAAGTGGAGCTGATAAAATGGACAATGAGCGTAGAAACAAGGAGGTGGTCACAATGTTATGCCTGATCAGCATTTTTCAGGCCATGTCTTAATATATTTCTGTGTTGTTTTTTATTCAAACTTTGCTGTTTGTATTTAGTATAATACACACTGTTCTCTGTGGCTAAAGCGCGTATACTGGCTGATTCCTGGACGAAACATTCCAAGGCCAGTCTATTCACTTTTTTCCCCTCCCGGCTTCAGACAAGTCCCTAGACAAACATTGTACATACCTTTGAGCTTAGAGATGAATGCTAACTTCAGTTTGCCCTCAATGTTGTTTATTTCAGCTCCTTTTCTACAAACACATGACTAACAGTCTCGTCTCAGGATTAAACGATACCTCAAATTCCTTGGCCTCTTTTTCCCTGAGAACTCGGCACTGGGTGAAGCTTTTTTTGCATGCTGCTGTATTTTCTCTGTCAGCTAGATTGCTCCAGCTGCTGCTGCCAAGCTCTTGGACACAGAGGGCTCTTTCATTGCCAGGAGTTTACTGCACATGTTTGGGTCGCGAGTTGAGGGCGAGACGTCTTGTACATTCCTGAACACTGATGCCGGTGCTGAACTACCCTCCGAGATCCGTCAGGGCGAGAGATGGAGAGGGTGTGTGAAAAGAGACTGTGGCCTATTTGGTCCCAGTGGAACTGACTGTAAGTTGGCTTTGAATGTACCAACAACTCTGCATACTACAGCTGAGACTTCTTGCAGTGTTTAAGAAACAAAATCCAGGAAAACGGTGGAATTTATCAAAAGAAACAATGAAGGTTTATTCAAGAGGTTACACATATAAAAAAATCCCAATGGGGGAAAAATTTCATTCAATGGATGCATCTCTCTCTCTCTCTCTCTCTCTCTCTCTCTCTCTCACTCTCACTCTCAAAATAACTCAAGTATGAAGTATAATGTATGATTGTGTCCTTCCAGCTGCCAGCCAAGCCTAATCAGCAGGGCTCACTGCAGGCATGACCACATGTGGTCCGGCAGCACTTCTGCTCACCAGGGCACTGGCCGTCATGGTAACAGTACTCCGCACACATCGGAGTCCCCTTGGGCTTGGTGCATCGACCAGGCTTCACTGTAAAGGAGAGAACGAAAATTACTCTATCCTTTCTGAATCATACAGATAGGGATGTCCCAATGCAGTGTTTTTTTGTTTGTTTGTTTTTCTGTTTTTCTTTGTTGTAATGATCGTACAGTGGTGTCTCAAGTACACTATATACATTCATATGTACAAGTTTAAACACGCTCGGTCAAACAAAAGCCTAGGCATTTCTCGGCCGCAGTGTCTGTGTTTACATCCAGAGATTTTTGCCGATCTGATTGAATACATTCCGATTACAGATTAAGACTGAGGCTTTTATATGCACAGTCTGTTAAACAATCTGATGGAAAATCTCCATTTACATGCTCACTACAAGTAATCTGATCAAAAATTACACGCATACGTAGAGAACCACTTAGAGTAAACGTTACTATGACAGCGAACATCACGTGAGTCCAGTCAGAGTGAGAGGTTTATGAGTTCTCTGCTTTTGCTGTGACGTGACACACATGCGCAGAACGTACTTACAAGTTCTGATAGGGAATGTAATCAGATACAGGTGTTTACATGGCTCTTATTCTTCTATTTAATGGATAATTTACAGGATTACCCACCTCGTTCAATCGGATAGAAATTGTATTCCGAATGGCCTCAACCGGATGTATTCTATTCTGATTAAGATATTAGTTGGATTATTAACGGATTATTAGGCTGCATGTAAACGTGGCTAATGTCATAACAGGCTGTTCCAAAGTGAAAGACTTGCATATGCAGCCTACGTTGTGACTGATTTCAAGGACGCATCAGATGTATCCTTCCAGGCCTTTGGTTACCCACAGTTCTCTGTGCCTGAACAAGGCGAAGGAAAAAAAACAGCATGGCGGAAAACTAAGCCGTTGGAGCAGAGCTCGTTTTAAAATGCAAGTTGTTCACGTACTTTAATTCTCTTCGTAGCTTTATAAAGTGTAAAATCACTGATTAATTAAAGCATCCGTCCCTATATCGTACATCGTCCATATGTCGTATTTTATTTAGAAGTATTTGTAAGTATGTAGTTTATCGTACTACATAAGAACATCTCCTCCATTTCCGTGAAGAAATGAAAAGAGCAACAAACTCAATGCAGCGGGCTCCATTTTCTCTCACTAGTTTCTTCATGAGTTTGGCGCCGCTCTGGTGGCGTCACCACGCAGCCTCGTTAGGACTGATCCATTTGTGTGACCAATAGTCCACTGTAGTCGTGTCGTCATTCTGTAGTCCTCGTTATGCCCATATTAGGAACTCCGGGTCTGAGCTCCATTTCTCTATGGGCCAGAATGAATAGGGTTTCGAAAAATCGCCTCTGTCGCCCCCTGTGTTAAATAAACGTGTTCAGAACCCGATACGTTTTGTCCTGTGTACCTTTTTCTCCCGAATATCACTGGATCCTCCGAATTACGAGGTCGTTAAAGAGCTATAATACTAAAATTGCTACATGTGAGCTAAAGCTACTGCGCATCAATTTGATGTCACAAAGCTACTCGAAACTAAGGCGGCTGTGGTGGAGCTCTGACCAGCTGTGCTTCCTTATCGAAATGTTCTACCGTAGCACATAATTACAGGTATACCCGTAAATAAAACCTCTGGGTGGGATATTTTGATAGATTAAACCTCCTTATCAAAAACACTACCCGTGTTAAACTACGAGGCTGAATTTAGCTTCTTTTTCGCAGCTTCTTGTTTGAATGTTCCCGTTCCGCCTTAAATGCTGCAGCAGCTGTGACTGGCCATCACAAACATTAGCAAACGACAAAATACTGACCTGTCGGTTCTGTGAAACAGCAAAAATCAGTTAATGTTACTCAGCTGTTAAGCAGAAATAGTGAAACTTCCTCATATCAGGCCTTTCAACCCTCCGTGAAGCTGAATCAGCTTCTTTGTCGTCGGCTGCTTGTTCGAATTTACCTGTTCCACCTTAAATGGCGCAGCAGTTCAGAACGTGACTGCTGCACCATTTAAGGTGGAATGGGAAACGTCAAACAAAAAGCTGGTGAATGTCCTGAGAAAAATGTTCCCAGCATTAAAATAATAATGAGGACATTCTGAGAGCCTAAATCAGTTTATCAGGGGTGAGCAGTGATCATTAAGCTGAGTCTGTACCGGATCAGCCTGAGTGCAGAAACGTTTGTAGAGCTTATCAAATCAAGCTAAAAGGTAAGATCTATCCTGTTTCAGTGAGAGTCAGATGAAGAACAGAGAATTGCAGGGAAACCTGCTGATTTTGTTCTGACTTGTTTTCATCTGCCCTCAGTCTGAACATGGAAATGTTTACTGACAAAGCCGGATTAAGGAGGCTGCCAGTCTAATGACGTGAATTCAGTGTGCAGTAGCTTTAGCTCACTTGTAGTAATACTCATATTTCAACTCTTTAATGGCCTCGTAATTCAGAGGATCCAGTGGTATTCGAGAGAAGAATGTACATGGAACAAAACATATTGGGTTCTGAACATTTTTATTGAACACAGGGGGCGCTAGAGGCGATTTTTTCGAAAACCCTATCCATTCTGGCCATAGCGAAATGGAGCTTAGACCCGGAGTTCCTAATGTGGGCATAAAAGCATGGAGCCGACTACAAAATGACGACACAACTGCAGTGTTTAATAGGCTACTAAGGAGGAGGCTTCATAGGACAGTCCTACTGAGGACCCGCCCACCTCGGCTGCAGCCTAGGCTCTGGAACACAGCTATTATATTTTTCATATTTCAGGTTGCTCAGCTTTGAACACAGTCTTACCACTGAGTAATAACCACACACTCAGATATTATAGACCGCTAGTCTGGGTTAGACTCAAGTCAGACACTGCCTTGGAGACAGATAATGTCTTACCTGTATAAGGGGCAATGCATTCATGGCCACATCCGTTGTGGCAGCATTTCTCCTCGTTTGGACAGTCGCTGTCGTTGGTGCAGTACTCCGCACACATCCCTGAGCCCCACTTCCGACGTGGGCACACGCCCGGCTTTGCTGTGACAGAACACAGGTATAAGCCAAGCGTTAGTCTCCTAGAGTCCTGGGTGAGTGGAGGAGAAGTCCACTCCTGTGTGTTCAATCTCCAATATAAGCTGATTTGCTTTCAAGCATCAGATGAATTTTAAGTCATGAATTTTAACACTGCTGAGAAAGGAGAAGTGAGAAGCTGAGATGAGCAGGTTTCTTACTGAAAGCTGGAGGCACACAGACGGCTCCGCAGTCAAAGACGCAGCATTTGTCGTCTCCTGGACAGTCGTCATCGCAGACGCATGCACGACTGGACGGTATGACTGTCAGCTTCCTGGGGCAGTGGCCAGCCTTGAACACTAGCACACACAGAGCTTGTTAACAGCCTTTTGATTCGTGATAGAGTGTGACTTAATTTACTGAACCGATTCACTTCAACGAATCAAATGTTCAGTGAATCAAATGATTCAGTAGCAGCCTACACTAATAACCCACCTTCACAGTTACTTTGTTACTTTATCTGTGTCTCCTTTTCTAGCTAACAAAGGTCACAATAGAAAAGAGGCAAATTTGATGTTATTTATCTGCATTTAATTTCATTTTCTTTAACAAATCTCTTGTTTTTGGTGAAACGGCTAACAGTGCAAATGTTTCAGAATCTCAGATTTCATGCAGTTCAAACTGCTGAACGATAAATAAATGTGAGAATTGTGAGGAATACGAGAAACAGGAATGGGAAGAGGTTAGTAACGGAGAAAAGTATGTTGGATGATGGAAAATTTAGTGAAAAGTTGAGCTACACAGGGCTGGAAAATGCTTAAGTCATTGTATGTTGTTACTAAAGTATTTTTTGGAAGATTTGTACTCTAAGGCCCAATCACATTTCTTCTTTTTACCCCTACCCCTTGTTTTCGACCCCTTGTGTCACCCTAACCCCTTGGAACAGTTACAATGGATAGTGGTTGAAATCTTCCCTCTGAAATGGGACCCTCAAATAAAAAGAGCATCATTTCATTAACAGCTACCAGCACTGCTCTGTAGGTGACCCTGCCAGTCTGCAGTGACAGCAGAGGAGGGTAAAGTTCAGCTCCTCACTGCTGGGCTTTAGTTACATTTAGGGCATCATATGCCTTCAAAGAGGGGGGCAATTATTTATTATCACCCACCCCTAATTCTTCAGTGATATGAAGCTGAAGTCAGATATTCACCAGCTTCTTGTTCAGATATTCCCGTTCCACCTTAAATGGTGCAGCAGTTACATTCTGGCGCTTCAGGCGTCAGAACTGCTGGACTATTTAAGGTGGAACGGGAAAGTTAGCTAACTACCGCATACTATTAGTGATTTTTTTGTGCTTGTTATGAAGAAAACGGCCATAATACACAAACAACATTAAACTAAGATAAAACAATGATTATCGTCATTTTTAACGGAGAAAATTCTCACATTTGTGGGTTTCTTTGGTCTCTTGTTCAGCTGTCTTACTGGTTTTTCTTTTTTTCTCATAACTCTCTGTTTAGAGTCTCTGAAAAACCTCTGTTTGGAGGGTCATGTAGCCCCAACACTTCACCCTACCCCTCTATCTCAACAAGAATCAGGACACCCTACCCCTAGACATGAACGCGCAAAACGGAGGGCTAAGGGCTCAGTGGTAGGGGTGAGGGGTGGAATGGGATTGGGCCTAAGTATTATTAAAATTGAATACTTGATCATTTACTCAATTACATTTCCAAGAGGAAAAAAAATACTCCTTACATTGTACACCTTCAGAGCACTCGTCACAAATCTTAAAGGCCAGGAAAATTTGCTCTTCTTCTCTTGCCAATCAGTGACATTCCCATTGATTTAAATAGATTGTTTTTAATAACACATGAAGAATCCAAACCCCGACCCAAACCAGGGAACCAGCCGTATGTCTGGAGAATTGAAGTTTACTCTTGCGCACAGGTACCAGACACCTAGCCAGCTCGTGAAACAATGGACTGACACAGTTTCATAGCTGGACTGATGCCAAGATTAGACCCAACTTATACATGACAAATGGCCGGTGTGACAGATATGACCACGTAAGGAAAAACAAAAATAGGCAGCCTAAATACAACATCAGCTCATGCACACACAATGCTGCATATAATGATGTATAACAGCACTAAACACATTACACAAAAATACATTCCTTCACACATCCAACCAAAGTGATACTGTAAAATTACACTGCCTACAACTGCTGTGTGATGACTAGTATGTGGATGACTCACCACTAAGAAACGAAGAAAACAATCTGTTAGAACTTTTACCTTTTTACATTTATAAACCCTGATAGCAAGAGGATAGTGGGCTGATGGCAGAGCTGGCGGTCCACTGCTGTTTTGCTCAGCGTTTTCTGGGCGGCCCACCGGTGGTTACGCAAAATATTAGACAAAATTCCACTTATCATCGCTCATTTTTCACTCACAGTCCAATTTACATCATTTTCCTTCCTTCCTTTCTTTAGTAATACTTTGTAAATTAGTTTAGTAAATAATTTTAATCCAGCTCAGTGTCAGCAACATTTTCTAAAATAATTTTATATAAGGCCTTTTTTTTTTCAATCAGTTGTAATATTTGTCTTGGTTTATTTTCCAAAATAAAAGTCTGTGTGCATTTAAAATCTGTTTGAGGAGATTAAAAACTAGTTAAAGCTTGTCTGCAGTACAGTGATCTGGGTGGACCAGCAGTGTCACACATGTTACTGTTTCCTAATGGGATCTAAAGGTGTCCTACAGGAGACGAGTGGTCTCTAATGGTAACTATTAAGCCAAGAACCGTTACAAAGCAAAACCATCAGGTTTTAATCTCAGTGTTTCTAATTGTTTTTCTTCAGCAAGGCACACTTTGTGACTTTCCTTTGGCTCCATTCTTCCACTTTAATTGAGTCTTTGATATAATAGTGTCATTTCCTCATTATTTTACCACTCCAGGCTCTAAAACACACAGAAAACATGCAGACCTACGCGGCCCTGCTGGTGACGTCCCATATAAATAAAAATAATGCGTGGCCACGCTTTATTGATGCGTGGAAATGAGATCCTAATGTGTGGCCACGACTTAGTAAGGCGTGGAAACAAGATCATGCCTTACTAAGTTGGTCACACATTAGGATCTCGTTCCCCTGCCCTACTAAGTCGTGGCCACGCATTAGGATCTCATTCCCGTGCCTTACTAAGTCGTGGCCACAACTTAATTATCTACGGGGCCCCGCTGGTGACATCCTGTATAAATAAAAATAATGTGTGGCCATGCCTTATTAATGCTTGGGAACGATATCCTAATGTGTGGCCATGACTTAGTAAGGCGTGGGAATGAGACCACGGCTTACTAAGTCGTGGCCACGCATTAGGATCTCGTTCCTATTATTTTTATTTATACAGGATGTCACCAGCGGGGCTCCATAATTATCTTATTCCCATGCCTTACTAAGTTGTGGCCACGCATTATTTTTATTTATACCCAATGTATCAGGATCGTACGGAGCCCCGCTGGTGACATCCTGTATAAATAAAAATAATGCATGGCCACGACTTAGTAAGCCATGATCTCATTCCCACTCCTTACTAAGTCGTGGCCATGTATTAGGATCTCGTTCCCATGCGCTAATAAGGTGTGGCCACGCATTATTTTTATCTACACAGGACGTCACCAGCGGGGCTCCTTAGGGATCGTGCTTACTTTTTTTGCATTTAAATGGAAAAAAACTGTCGATTCGTTTGGGAATCGATTCACCCGATTCAGTGAGGAGTCGTTCGCGAGTCACTCATCATCCGTCTATTGTTCCGAGCTCAGCTCGTTCCTAACGGACACCAGATGTTTTCACTTTTTTAGGGAAGTCTTTAAATCAGAACAGAGTCTGTCGCACCTTCTCGAAAGCTTTTCGCCACGTTTAACAGGTACAGTCCGCGATCAGCGGGGGTGTTTTGTTGAAGAGACTGAAGTAGTTTACGGTCCAAAGCGAGGTTTGGAGCGTGTTTGAGCTGAAGGAGCTGAAAGAGTGACTCACCGGTGGAGTTCCGTCCCGGTGCGGCTCCGGCGGGACTCGGCCATTCAGCCACGCTGAGCAGGACAAAGCTAAGAAAACACAGCAGTCCGGTCTTCATCTTCTCCTTTACGAGCTTCCACAGGACTGAACTTGTTAGGAAGACAAGCCGAAGTGACAGGACGGAGAGGCGGAGAGAGGGGAGGGTCTGCAGGGTCCCTCTGCCTGCTGAGTTCATCAACTCCACTCTGTTAGAGTCTCCGTGTTAGATCCGGTTACCGGCGATTTCATCACCCTCGGTTTTGTTTTTTACTGCAGTGAACTGTAGTTTCATACATCTGACTTTAAACATCAATTCCTCCACCCACTGTCCAGAAAAATCTGCATAATTAAACCGTTCAGACGTAAACAGTCACTCTTCTTATAGATAAAAGATGATAATAATAATAATAATAAAAATAATGCGTGGCCACGACTCAGTAAGGCGTGGGAATGAGATGATTAAGTCGTGGCCATGACTTAGTAAAGCATGCGAACAAGATCCTAAAGTGTGGCCACAACTTAGTAAGCCGTGATCTCATTCCCACGCCTTACTAAGTCGTGGCCACACATTAGGATCTCGTTCCCACATGTTAATAAAGTGTGGCCACGCATTATTTTTATTTATACAGGATGTCATCATCAGGGCTCTGTAACATCCTGTATAAATAAAAAAAAAAAAAAGTGTGGCCACAACTTAGTAAGGCGTGGGAACAAGATAATTAAGTCGTGGCCATGACTTAGTAAAGCGTAGGAATGAGATCCTAAAGCGTTCCCGCGCCTTACTAAGTTGACTTACTACGACCATGCGTTACTAAGTCATGGCCATGCATTAGGATCTCGTTCCCACGCGTTAATAAGGCATGGCCTTGCATTATTTTTATTTATCATCAGGGCTCTACGGATGATGGGCTGTGATGATGACATCCTGTACAAATAAAAATAATGCGTGGCCACACCTTATTAACATGTGGGAACGAGATCCTAATGCGTGGCCACGACTTAGTAAGGCATGGGAATGAGATGATTAAGTCGTGGTCATGACTTAGTACGGTGTGGGAACTAGATCACGGCTTACTAAGTCGTGGCCACACATTAGGATCTTGTTCCTATGCTTTACTAAGTCATGACCATGGCTTAATCATCTCATTCCCCCACCTTAATAAGTCGTGGCCACACATTATTTTTATTTGTACAGTGTGTGTCCTAATGTGTGGCCACAATGTGGGAATGAGATGATTAAGTCGTGGCCATGACTTAGTAAGAAGTGGGAACGAGATCATGGCTTACTAAGTCGTGGCCACATATTAGGATATCGTTCCCATGCTTTACTAAGTCGTGGCCACGCATTATTTTTATTTATACAGGATGTCACCAGTGGGGCTCTGTAGGGCTCCGTAACATCCTGCATAAATAAAAAAAAAAGTGTGGTCACAACTTAGTAAGGCGTGAGAACAAGATAATTAAGTCGTGGCCATGACTTAGTAAGGTGTGGGAACAAGATCCTAATGCGTTTCGTGGCCACGACTTAATTATTCCATTCCCATGCCTTACTAAGTTGTGGCCACGTATTAGGATCTTGTGGCCACGTGTTATATTTATTTATATGAGATGTCACCAGCAGGGCTCCGTGTCTTATACAGTCAGAACTGTTCACAGTGGTGGGCATAGGAACCAGACGTCTGAAGAGTTTAAAGGGGAATTCCACTTTCCTTTTATTTGCACATAATTAAATCACAATGTAAACAAAACCATTCAGAGTGGTTTAATATGAAATGCTGCATTGTAGAGTAACGTCCTGAGTCAGAAGTGTTCACAGTGGTGGTGATAGGAACCAGACGTCCACACAGGTCAGTGCCTCTGAAAGTTCCCTCACAGAAGTTAATACATAGAATGGTTCTAAATACAAGGCCTGATGCCTGAAACATTGTTTTATGCTAGTTCCTAGATCTAAAACATGGCCTAAAACAAACTTACATTAAAAATACCTTTTTTCACCAACTTTATCACAATTTTATCATTATCAACATTACATATCAAAAAGGGTGGATGAGATTCGTCCGGAGATGCTTAAGGCTCTGGATATTGTGGGGCTGTCGTGGCTGATACGCCTCTGCAATAGTGCATGAACCTCGGGAACAGTACCCTTGGACTGGCAGACCGGGGTGGTGGTCCTTATTTTCAAGAAAGTGGACCGGAGGGTGTGTGCCAACTATCGGGGTATCACACTGCTCAGCCTCCCTGGGAAAGTCTATGCCAAGGTGCTGGAAAGGAGACTTCGACCGATAGTTGAACCTCAGATTGAGGAGGAACAATGCGGATTCCGTCCTGGCCGTGGAACAATGGACCAGCTTTTCACCCTCTCACGGATTGTTGAGGGGGCATGGGAGTTTGCCAACCCAGTCTACATGTGTTTTGTGGATTTGGAGAAGGCTTACGACCGTGTTCCCCGAGATATCTTGTGGGAGGTCCTCCGGGAGTATGGGGTGCCGGGGTTACTACTCCGGGCCATTCAATCTCTGTACGCCCGGAGTGAGAGCTGTGTTCGTATACTCGGCATTAAGTCGGACTCTTTCAGTGTTAGCGTTGGACTCCGCCAGGGTTGTGCCCTGTCTCCACTCCTGTTTGTGATATTCATGGACAGGGTGTCAAGGCGTAGCCGGGGTCAGGAGGGCATTATGTGTGGAGGCCGGAGGGTGGCATCTCTGCTATTTGCAGATGATGTTGTTCTTTTGGCTGGATCACATGGATGCCTCCAGCGCGCACTGGAGCGGTTTGCAGCTGAGTGTGAAGCTGTTGGTATGCGGATCAGCACCTCCAAGTCTGAGTCCATGGTCTTAGCCCGGAAAAGGATGGTATGCCCACTCCAGGTAGGGGGAAAGGACTTGCCCCAGGTGGAGGAGTTTAAGTATCTCGGGGTCTTGCTCACGAGTGATGGGAAAAAGGATCGTGAGATCGACCGCAGGCTGGGACAAGCGGCAGCAGTAATGCGGTCGCTGTACCGGACTGTAGTGGTGAAGAGGTTTACTGATCAGTCTACATCCCGACCCTCACCTATGGTCATGAGCTGTGGGTAATGACCGAAAGAATGAGATCGCGAATACAAGCGGCAGAAATGAGCTTTCTTCGCAGGGTGGCTGCTACACTCCATTTGATAGGGTGAGGAGCTCGGCCATCCGGGAGGAGCTCGGAGTAGAGCCGCTACTCCTCCGCATTGAGAGGAGCCAGCTGAGGTGGTTCGGGCATCTGATCTGGATGCCCCCTGGATGCCTCCCGGTGGGGGTGTACCAGGCACGGCCTACCGGAATAAGACCGGGGTCGTCCTAGGACCCGCTGGAGGGATTATATCTCCAAGTTGGCCTGGGAGTGGCTTGGGGTCCCCGGGAATGAGCTGGAGGAAGTTGCGGAGGACGGGGTCACCTGGGATTCTTTGCTCTCCCAACTGCTACCGCAACCCTATCTGGACTAAGCGGTTAACGATGATGATGATGATGATGATGATGATGATATCAAAACTCAGAACTCAGAATACATCTGTAGGTAAACTGGTCATTTTTGATGCTTAATAAAATAACTATATTTCCATTAGTGTGTTTGTGTGTATATATATATATATATATATATATATATATATACACATATACATATGCATGTGTATATATATATACATATATATGTGTGTGTGTGTGTGTGTGTGTATACACCTGATGTCTGTGACACTGTTTTACAATATTTTTGAGAAGTTTTTGGCCTGAAACGTATTTTGTTAAACACATGCATTTTGGATTGTAAATAAAATGGAACCATATATTTGGGTTGTAGACATTGCAACCCTTGGTTCCCACCAACACTACCTGTAAAGACATCAAAGTCAGTAAGTTTCTTTACAAAGCACCGTTTGGCATCAAATCAACACTGAGTAGTAAGTTTAAACTATGGGCTTATAATAAACTATAAACTATGGTCTTATAATCTGGACTCTGTTCCCAGTTTTGTTTTTGCATATAATGCACGATCTATATGCAAAATACTTTATTCTCACTTTCAGTCCACTAAGCTGATGGCTGATGGCAGATCCCACGCCCTGCTTTATTATCCCAAACCTGCTGTCCAACATTTTAAAGTAAGGAGATCATTTTCAAGATGAGTCTACACCTACTGGCAATTTGTCAGGACCCATGAACAAACATAAAGCTCAGTCTAAACTTCAGACTAAACTTCAGTAGAGTCTTTTCTTTAAGCATAAGATTGTAATTGAATAAAAGTTCCATGTTTTTTTGTATCTTTTCACTTTTTAACTGTCTGTATGTCAGTAAACTGCCCTGTGATGGACTGGCGACCTGTCCAGGGTGTATCCTGCCTTCCGCCCAATGACAGCTGGGATAGGCTCCAGCACCCCACCGCGACCCAGAAGGATAAGCGGTTTAGATGATGTATGTATATGTATGTATGTATGTTAGTAAATCACACAGTTGTATGTAAAACTATGGGCACCCCTCATTAAATTACATGTTTTGTTGATTTTCTAAGTGAGGAAAAGTGAATACATCATCTAATGAGAACATGTTTTATTACACAATGACTGGTTATTTGCTGAATTTTACATAATGGAAAAATAACATAGGAAACGTGGCCTGTGCAAAAGTTATGGCACGTTTTTTTTTCTCAGCCAATGAAAAGAAACTGTACCGAAAATGCCATTTTTGAGTTTGTTCCTTGAAGAGGATATGAACTTATTTTCAAAACCAACAAAACATGGGGTTTTCAAACTTTTGCATATGACTGTATATAATGCAGTATATAGTGACACCTAGTGACACTTTCCCAACACTGTTAAAATTTCAATTCACAAAACACTCTTCAATATTATACACCGATCAGGCATAACATTCTGACCACCTCCTTGTTTCTGTGCTCATTGTCTATTTTATCAGCTCCACTTACTACATAGGTGCACTTTGTAGTTCTACAGTTACAGACTGTAGTCCATCTGTTTCTCTGCATACTTTGTTAGCCCCCTTTTACCCTGTTCTTCAGTGGTCAGGACCCCCATGGATCCTCACAGAGCAGGTACTATTTGGGTGGTGGATCATTCTCAGCACTGCAGTAACACTGATGTGGTGGTGGTGTGTTAGTGTGTGTTGCGCTGGTCTGAGTGGATCAGACACAGCAGTGCTGCTGGATTTTTAAACACCTCAGTGTCACTGCTGGACTGAGAATAGTCCACCAACCAAAAACATCCAGCCAACAGCGTCCTGTGGGCAGCATCCTGTGACCACTGATGAAGGACTAGAGGATGACCAACGCAAACTGCAGCAGCAGATGAGCTATCGTCTCTGACTTTACATCTATAAGGTGGACTGGCAAGGTAGGAGTGTCTAATAGAGTGGACAGTGAGTGGACACAATGTTTAAAAACTCCAGCAGCACTGCTGTGTCTGATCCACTCGTACCAGCACAACACACACTAACACACCACCACCACGTCAGTGTTACTGCGGTGCTGAGAATGATCCACCACCCAAATAGTACCTGCTCTGTGAGGGTCCATGAGGGTCCTGACCACTGAAGAACAGGGTAAAAGGGGGCTAACAAAGTATGCAGAGAAACAGATGGACTACAGTCTGTAACTGTAGAACTACAAAGTGCACCTATATAGTAAGTGGAGCTGATAAAATGGACAATGAGCGTAGAAACAAAGAGGTGGTCAGAATGTTATGCCTGATCAGTGTATAATATAATCTAATATAATAATCATGTGTACATATATAGTCAGTCAGCTCGTACACAGAAGGGTGCGAAGACAAACAACAGTTACACATTTACGGATGAAAATGTATTTTATTTCAATCAAAACACACTCAGAAAAAGGAAACATCTATTAAAAGAAAAATAATTTCATGTCTGATGTAAACCTGAGTGTTTGAAACGGGAGTGCTTGTAAATAAGTGAAGGAAAAAACTGTTGTCACATCTGCACAAACACACACACACACACACACACACACACACACGTGAAACAACTGCAGAACATTCAGAGCCAAACTATCCTGTTCCAAAACTCTTTCTGGTGACGTTATTGTAGTGCAGGTTATCATAGAGTGAAACATTTGCTGACCTGTTGATATAATGCTTAAATTTTACAAATGTGCCATAAAAACATCTCAAGAAAAGAACAGCTACATAACATAAAACTGGGAAAAAAAATCAGTGAGTGGTCATTTAACCATGTTAAGGCCATTTAGGTTTCGTGAAACATATCAAGGTTTAATCAAACATGAGAGGAATGTTATTCTAAAAGAAAATAAACTGCAAAGTAAGGAGTTTAGTGAATAGGCAGGGCAAGGCTTTAATACTGTATGCTACCATAAATTCCCTAATTTCCCTAAATAATAAATAAACACATAAGTAACACACTCAAGTCATTTCATAGCACTGGAATATAAAATAAAAGACAACATTTAGCAGCAAAAAAAACAAATTCTAACGTCTCTGTAATGTGGTACCTTAATTATACCTGAAGTTTTAGAGCGAGAATGAAATTCATAACCAGTTTAAAAACGGCTTAAAAATCCTGTTTTAACCTAATTTCCTCTGCTTTATTATTTTATTAATATAAATATGCTATATGTAACATTATTTGTTGTGTTTTTTCTCCTTAATATTAATATTTGGGTGCAATGAAAATAGCTCTCTTATAAAAAATAGTTCTCTAATAAGGCTGTGCTTCATGCATTTAGAGTATATGACTAACAGTTTTAAAAATATTTTTAAAAAACGTAGCTGTAGGTGTAGTGCTGTTTACATATCACTTAGACACAACAGTTTTCCCATTCTGTGCAAAACATGACAAAGACATCCTAAAAAAATGCTGGTGAGCAGATAATATAATCGCTAACTAACTATTATGTGATTGTTCTCTGCAAATTACTCACAAATTCAGTGGGTCAGTTTTAATGTCACAGGTTCCTCCACTATGTGAACAGCACTACAGCAAAATCCCTCAGGTTTCCTCAGAATATTGCAATAACTATCCAGGATGCTGCATCCTATGAAAGGGGTCATCATTTCCAGGTGTAGAGGAGTTGAGTCCAGCACAGTTTGGTGATTTCCCTGCTCAAACACCCCTGATTCGCTTTATCATTCAAGCAATTCTCCAGCGTTTTTCAACGTCATCTCTTTGCATCTGTAGCACACGGCTGAATACCATGGACAGTCCGTTTAACCCTCTGTTGCACGCTGTTGCCTCTAGGCAACAAACACATTTTCCTCACTTTACAGTAACATTATACACATTTAACGACAACGACAGGGTTAATAATAAAGGGAAGAGTTTGAGTAAGTCAATAAAAGGATGTGTTTGGTCATACTATCTCTTAATGGACACTTTTAAACCTCTATTTAATATACAGTATAATTTTTTTTGTTATGAGAATTTGCCAAACTATGTTTGTTGCCTAGAAGCAACATTGTAGGTCAGTGGAATGGATTTAGCCAGTCACAAGCCAGATCTTACCACTTCAGGGAACACGGCTTCATATAATTTCTTCCCATTGTCACACAATGTTGCCTCAGGGCAACATACCCCAAAAGGACCCCTGCACACGTTATTATTTTAAAATATTTTTCAATGAATAATTAGGTCGATATCTTGCAAGAAAAGTGAATCTAATATTTTTTAATTGCTCTCATTATGCTTGCAGTAGAGGGTTAACACAATTCTGAGTGCTTAAGTAAAAGAACAAAAAAAAACCCTCATACTGACTCATAATAAAAGACTATGGGCAAGTGCTAAAACCCAGTGTTTTGAGTAAACAGGTTACTGTCTCAGGTAAATAACCATATGCTAGAACAAAGGCACCCAGGGATTACGCTGAAAAATACTGGAATATTCTTTTAATTACCAAGGTTACTTGGTGTGGACCAGAACTGCTGCCCCCTGTCCTATCTATGCGTGTTCCTCCCCTTTGCTCTTTGACTTGGCGTCTCCCTCACTGTCCTCCAGATTCTCTTTTATGAGACACTCCTTCAGGTTGGGCTGACTCCCCACGTCGACCCCAAGCTCTTGGATGTCCTGCAGGAGGGCTTCCCAGCGCCGCTTGTCTTTGGAGATCTTCCAGGACAGCCGGACATTGGCCTGCAACAGCGGCACCAGCAGTGGGTGTAGCTGGGGTGGCGGTGGCTGCTGCTTCAGGGCCTCCGGGGACGGCGCCAGGTCCTGTAGGGCTCGGTCACAGTTCTCCTGCGCCTCGGTGGGCTGTTCCGAATCCTGGAAACAGCTGACCAGCGCCGCCAACGTGAAAAGCCAGTGAGCCTTCTGCAGCGGCTGCTGCTGGAGCAGCTGCTGGCAGCCCAGCTTCTCCTGGAGCCGCAAGGCATTGAGCAGCGCCCCCACAGCTTCCTGGTAACGTCCCACGCGCAGCAGCATCTGGCCAGCACGCAGGTCGCCCAAGTAGAAGAACTCCAGGAAGGTGGGTGCGGCACGCAGCTCGGGGAGCGAGTACAGGTGGCCCAAGTACTGCTCAAAAGCCCGACTGCGCTTGGCGATGGTCTCGGCTGCAAAGTTTCTGCGCAGCTTCTTGCGGGGGAAGTAGACGCCCTCCATCTCGTCGCCATGCCGGCGTCGCAGACGGCCGTGCAGCCGCTCGAAGTCAGTGTAGCGACGTGTAATGACTCCTGGGGTTTTGTCAAACGTCCCAGACCGAATGACGTGAATAGTGTAAAGCTGTATGAAAACAAGAACAGGTTTTATCTTGTATAATCTGTGACACAAATGACCAGTAGGGTGTTTCAAAAGGCAGGATTACTTCTCAAACTAGATAGATATCTTGGGGATTGGTTTGGGGAAATGGAGACCTCTCTGGTGGACATCTGTAATTGCAAGCAATTGTGGTAGTTGTGTTTTTTGTCAGTTGTGTTGCTTTTTCCTGGGCAAAATAATCCTGCCAACTAGGGCTGGTACTCTAAAGTACCCTGTTTGTTCAACAAGCGACTTATAAAAGGTACATAGTGTCTGGAGTCTAGACCAAGAACTATTATTCACATAGCAGTGGCACTGATTGGCTATCTGGTAGCACTGGGAGTGCAACTAGACCCAAACAGTGCTTGAACCAGAACTAGTACAAAAGCAAAATGGATCATTTTGAGGATTGGCTGGTAGAAAACATTACAAACACTTATATGGCACTCATTTTAAAATACAGGGTGATTCAAAAAGATTCATTCGATTTCAAAATGATTTATTTCTCTTGTAAATCATTACAGATCAATGCAGTAAACTGTAAATGGTTTAAATGAGCATAAAGTTTATTATGTAATTGTACAAGGTCTCGGTATGAACCTCCTCCAGCTGTACAGACAACATCAACGCCATAGTCAAACTCATCCCATACTGGATTGATCATGTCGGGTGTCGCTGCACTCACGGCTCTTTCAGTGCGATTTCGGAGATCATCCAGTGTTGTGGAACCAACGACGAACGCTCTGAGCTGTTGGAGGTTCACTGCCCACGGAAATCACACTGCACAGTTATGACGGATTCACTCTTGTTGAAGTGGAGAACGCATAATGCTTTCTGCTCAGGGGTCTCATCTCCTCTCAGACTGAAGGGAGCCATCTTCCACTGACAGTCAGAAACTCTATGACCCCCTCTTTCAATTGGATTGTGATTGGTTCCTCTGCGCCTCACAGATGTAAAAAATATGGCGCTTTGAAATCGGATGAATCTTTTTGAATCACCCTGTATGTCATTTTTACAGGTTTGATACTGCCCCCTAGTGTACACGTTCACATTATGTGCACACATGAAGTACAACTTGGCTTCAACATTGCAATATCAATCTGTAAAGAAGCCTGTTAGAGTCTGAAAAACTGCCAAATCCAGCCCCACCGTTTTGACCTTTGAATGAACATTGTAGGCTTTACAAGGTGACTTGCTGCAGCACAAGGACACCAAGTTTTAGATTATTCTTTCTCTACTGACTCAGTAATACTCATTTCCAACAGACAGTCTTGCTTAGTGCAGCCAGAAGTGAGAACTGCAACTGAACAGGCTTGACTTTGGGCCTAATTTATCTACCCAACTGAGAAATCCTGCTTTGTGACATCCCCTCACAATATATTTTGTCCCCAGCAATCACTGTTTTTAATTGTACTGCTATTTGCAACCACTGCAAGATTTTACTTAGAAATTATGACCACCAATTTATCTAAGATAGATCTAAGCAAACTTTGAGAGGGAGAATAACTGGTGTTACCACTTACTACATATTTGGAGCTCATCTCTTGTACAACGTTGGCATCAGTCACTTCAAAAATGAGCTTTTCCGAAACACAGCGAGGCCTCAGGCTTCTCCAGCTCTCCTGCAGCTGCCTGGTGAGCATGTTCGAGCCCTTCAGGGTAGGGCTGGTAGGGCTTATGTCTAAAAAAGACAGCGCTAATTAAATGCAATTGTGAAACACCAAGAGAAGTGTGAACTCTTCTCACAGCTCTCTTATAAAAACAAGAAGTGAAAGCTAACTGCCCTTAAATATCTCCGTATATACCAGTTCATTTCTGGTTTCTTCTGGGTGCCGGCAGAGCAGCAGAAACCCATAAAATTTGCATTTTGGTTTAGAAAGGACTTTTGAGAAGACTGAAAATAAACCAAGATGAGCTTGTATGTGTTCAATATTACTTGGAGAAACATTTGTGTTGCAAATACAATCCAGTCTGTCTATTTTTGCGACCCAAATGACCACAAAGTCACTATAAACCATAATCTACTATCTACTTCCTTTGTGTACGACCAGTTATTACCGGACCTGAAGTGAATCCAGAAGTTGACAGAACTACTCACCTAGTAACACAACCTGAAAAACTCTCAGAACGATAGTAATATTGCTTTCGGTTGTTGTGTTCCACAGTGTAATAAAGTAAGTGGAAGGGTGGTAAGAACTACCTGTGCTGCTGCATGGATTATCCAAAGACTCCCCGAAGAAGTCTGAATCGCTGTCTTGGCCAGACGCTTCGCCTGCATCTTCAGAATCCAGGACTGCATCACCCTCAAAAGAGAGCGTTCCGCCAAGCCTGGCCGACACATAGTCCGTGTCGTCCTCGAGTTCAGAGCTTTCTGGAAAGTCGTCCGTTCCGTCTGCATCTCCGTCTGCATCTGCGGGGTGCTCTCCTTCTTTGAAAAGCGTGCGGCGAAGTCTGTCCAGCAGCTTAGAGGCCATCCCACGCTCAGAGACTATGGCACTGCGCATGCGAAAGCCAAAAACAAATGAAATTTCATACCCCAACCACAAAAAATGTTCAGTAGTACTGAATAATCTGTCACTTAGTTGCAATGGAAATAGTGAAGGCTCTACCCTTTCATGACATTCCACTGATCTGTGAAACCAGAGACCTAAACCTGGAAGAAGCTGAGCTGCCATTATGTTTAATTCATAGGGGGTGTGTGGCATTGAGTCTAAATAAACAAATAACTCCGGCTTTGGCAGATAAGGACCCAGTAACACTGACACAGTTTGGTATTTACCAGTGGTGGACAGTTGTCTGTACTTAAGTAGTTTTTTTGTGTATCTGTACTGAAGTTTTTCCATTTTGGGCGTCTGTTTACTTTCACTCCACTACATTTCAAAGTCAAATATCTCACTTTTTACTCCACTACATTATGAGAAATCTGTCGCTCCTTTTGGTTTGTGTGTGTATAAAAACGTAACATGTCAAAACGAAAGAAGAGTGAAGCAAGAACACCAATCAGGGCACAGGGGTCACTTTGTTTTGAGCTTGTTTTGACCTGTTGGTCATACCGACCCAGTGCAGCACACGGTTCAACATCAGTGCAGCAGCGTAAAATTTTGGGAGAGTCTATTCAACATAAATGATGAACTAACCTAACTTTGTGTAAATAGACCACAGTATAGAAATATGTACTCATATGCAGTTGTGACTGATGCGTCTTTTTTCTGAATTTATACAAACACTATTTAATTTTATAGTAAATTAGTTTTGGCTAGTTTATGTTTATGAACAGAGACCTACAGATGCAGTTTAGTAAAGGAAACTCATTTGTGAATCTGAGTTTAAAGTTTTTATTGAACTTAAACTTGTAACTAAGTTCAAATAAATCTTAAACTGAAACTTTGCTTGTTCGCAAAAAGTGATTTCAGAGCCACTCAGTTCTACCTGATGGAAACTGTTTGCCTCCAGTGTTTTGTGCTTATGATAATTTTAACAGACATCAGCGTCACTAATTAATGACATTCTATTAAAAGACTGGTTTACCAAGAGAGACACTGGAGTATTTTCACCTAAAATGAGTTAATGAAGCAGAGTCTTGTTACAAAAACAGTAATAGGACATCAGAGTCATGATTAATCTTTTACTTTTGATACTTAAGTACATTTGAAGGTGAATACTTTAGTACTTTTACTCAAGTGGAGGTCTAAAGGGAGGAACTTCTGCTTTTTCTGGAGTAATATTTTATCTTGGGTATCTCTACTTTAACTCAAGTACATGTTTTGCTGACGAAGCTAAAGTTAAATTGGCTTCTTATTCGAAATTCCGTTCCACCTTAAATGGTGCAGCGGTTACATTCTACTGTACAGGCGCCAGAATGGAACCCACGGCACCATTTAAGGTGGAACGGAAATTGAAATAACTTCAACGCCAACTTCAGCCTCGTCACTCATGAACTTCGTTTAAAACACACAGATTAATTCGCCAAATAAACAAAATAAACATCCCGTCGAGGGAAAACGACTGCGCTACACTGGCTAGCCCGCGTTAGCTACGTAGGTTCACTAGCAGAGGCGCTAATAACAGACATGCTGAATCAGCCGAAGTGGCTTAAAAACAACATGACAGTAAGAGCTCAAGCAGTAAAACCGCTTTCGCTTAGATAATCTGTACATTTCAGTAAGAGAACACTTAAAGAAACTTTGCTGAAGAGCAACAGGTCACCCGCTAACGACCAGCTAACAGGCTAATTCGGATGACAGAACTTCGGGAATACCAGACTGACGTTAACCTACACAGCTCCACGGAAAAAGCTGTGAAACGTGGACTTACCCGCTCTGCTGATCGCTACTGAGCACAGTCCATGTTCACAGACATGCCGTTAAAGTACGGTCCAAGAGGAGGTCGGACACGGACACTGGCTGAGCGCAGGACTGGGAAAACAGCAGGAGCGGATCCACCGGCCTGGGTGTGCTGAGGTAGGCGGACACTCACCCCCTCACACTGGAGCAGACAGGATGAGTTACACATGAGTGATAGTGGAGAGAGGAAGGCTCGCCAAGGCTGATAGCAGTGTGTATGAACAGGACCAGCTCTGTAAACGGCTTGAAGAACAATGGGTGACGAGGAATGAGCCTTATATATAGTGATTTATAAATTTAAACAGAAAAAGTTAATATGACTTTTAAAAAAAGAGAGTATTGGAAGAAAAAGTTAAACAAGAAAAGAATAATAGTCAATTAAGTCAGTTGCTGTGTCATATTTTGTAGCTCTACAGTTACAGACAGTCCATCTGTTCCTCTGCATACTGTGTTACCCTGTTCTTCAGTGGTCAGGACCCCCGTGGACCCTCACAGAGCAGGTACTGTTTGGGTACTACCTTGTCGGGCCGCCTTGTAGATGTGAAGTCAGAGACGATAGCTCATCTGCTGCTGCACAGTTTGTGTTGGTCGTCCTCTAGCCCTTCATCGGTGGTCACAGAACGCTGTTTGCTGGATATTTTTGGTTGGTGGACTATTCTCAGTCCAGCAGTGACACTGAGGTGTTTAAAAACTCCAGCAGCACTGCTGTGTCTGATCCACTCAGACCAGCGCAACACACACTAACGCACCACCATGTCAGTGTTACTGCAGTGCTGAGAATGACCCACCACCCTGTTCTGTGAGGGTCCGTGGGGTACCAGTCTGAGGTCCCGAGTGCTCTGGCTCAGGTTTTCATTAAGAATATCTCTGTATTTTGCTCCATTCAGCTTTCCCTCAACCCTGACCAGTCTCCCTGTCCCAGCTGCTGAAAATCAACCCCACAGCATTATGCTGCCGCCACCATGCTTTACTCTAGGGAGGGTGTTGGGCAGATGATGAGCAGTGCCTGGTTTCCTCCAGTCATGATGCTTAGAACTGAGGCCAAAAAGTTCAATCATGGTTTCATCAGACCAGAGAATCTTGTTTCTCACAGTCTGAGAGTCCTTTAGGTGCTTTTTTCAAACTCAAAGTGGGCTTTCATGTGTCTTTTACTGAGGACAGGCTTCTGCCATAAAGCCCAGATTGATGGCAAGCTGCAGTGATGGTTGACCTTCTGGAAGTTTCTCCCATCTGCACACAGGATCTTGGGAGCTCAGCCAGAGAGACCACTGGGTTCTTGGTCACCTCTCTCACCAAGGCCCTTCTCCCCCGATTACTTAGGCCCAATCCCATTTCACCCCTCGCACCTACCACTTAGCCCTTAACCCTCTGTTTTACGAGTACACGTCTAGGAGTAGGGAGTCCTGATTCTTGTTGAGATAGAGGGGGAGGGTGAAGTGTTGGGGCTACATGGCCCTCCAAACGGAGGTTTTTCAGAGACTCCAAACAGAGTGATAGGAGAAAAAAAGAAAAACCGGCAAGACGGCTGAACAAGAGACCAAAGAAACCCAAAAATGTGAGAATTTTCTCTGTTAAAAAATTACAATAACGACTGTATTATCTTAGTTTAATGTCGTTTCAGTGTATTATGATTGTTTTGTTCATAACAAGCATAAAAAATCGCTAATACCATGCTAATGTCTCGGTAGCTAGCTAACCTTCCCATTCCACCTTTAATAGTCCAGCAGTTCTGACGCCTGAAGCGCCAGAATGTAACTGCTGCACCATTTAAGGTGGAACGGGAAAATTCGACCAAGAAGCTGGTGAATATCTGACTTCAGCTTCATATCACTGAAGAATTAGGGGTGGGTGATAATAAATAATTGCCCCCCTCTTTGAAGTCATATGATGCCCTAAATGTAACTAAAGCCCAGCAGTGAGGAGCTGAACTTTACCCTCCTCTGCTGTCACTGCAGACTGGCAGGGTCGCCTACAGAGCAGTGCTGGTAGCTGTTAATGAAGCAATGTGTTTAATTTGAGGGTCCCATTTCGTAGGGCAAGATTTCAACCACTACCCCTTGTAACTCAGTTCCAAGGGGTTAGGGTGACACTCGAAAACAAGGGGTAGGGGTAAAAAGAAGAAATGGGATTGGGCCTTAGTTTGGTGGGGCAGCCAGCTCTGAGAAGAGTCCTGGTTGTTCCAAACCTCTTCCATTTAAGAATTATGGAGACCTCCACACAATCCTGTCTCTGAGCTCTACAGGCAGGTCTTTCCTCCTCATGGCTTGGTTTTTGCTCTGATATGCATTGTCAGCTGTGCGACCTTATATAGACAGGTGTGTCTTTCCAAATCATGTCCAATCAACTGAATTTACCACAGGTGGACTCTTATACATATAATAATATAAACTTGTACATATAAAGCGTCTCCTTGTTTCTACATTCACTTTTTCAGCTCTATTTCATCTGTTTCTCTGCATACTTTGTTAGCCCCCTTTTACCCTGTTCTTCAATGGTCAGGACCCCCATGGACCCTCACAGAGCAGGTACTATTTGGGTGGTGGATCGTTTTCAGCACTGCAGTAACACTGACGTGGTGGTGGTGTGTTAGAGTGTGTTGCGCTGGTCTGAGTGGATCAGACACAGCAGTGCTGCTGGAGTTTTTAAACACTGTGTCCACTCACTGTCCACTCTATTACACATCTAAGTTGTTGGTCTATCTTGTAGATCTAAAATCAGAGACGATAGTTATTGCTGCACAGTTTGTGTCGGTCATCCTCTAGTCCTTCATCAGTGGTCACAGGATGCTGCCTACAGGACGCTGTTGGCTGGATGTGGTTGGTGGACTGTTCTCAGTCCAGCAGTGACACTAAGGTGCATAAAGCGTCTCAAAATAATGACTTTTGAAATTTGAATTTCACCAATTCTTTGAAATTCTGCATAACTCATGTATCTCTCCACCATGGCTGGATTTTAAAAATTTGTTTCAGGCCCAATTTTTTTTTTTCCAAAGTTTTATAAAAGGCAACATAAGCATTTCAAGAAATAGCTTTCTGTGAGGGAGCTTTTAGAGGAATTAATTGCTTCAGACTTCTGGTTCTTATCAACACCACTGTGAAGAATTCTGACTCAGTAAGTTTCTCTGGAACGGAGTGTTCCACACCAAACCACTCTGAATGACCTTGTGTACAGTTTTCAAACAAATAGTGGAATTTCCCTTTTAAAAAGCTCCAAAACTAAGATAAGATGACTCAAAGCTGGCAAGCGACCCTGAAGTCTTGCCAGAAGAAAGGCTGACTTCTTATCAAATCATAAAAAGCCATTTAGAGTTTACTAAAATCACCAGAACTTTGATTTGAACTAAGATCAGATAAGAAATGGAGATATTAAGCCTTTTTGGTCACAAACACCAGGGGTGGAGTTGGGATAAAAAGGGAGATGCTTGTGCAGAAAAGAATGTAATATCCACAGTGAAGTGCGGACAGAGTAATGGACTCGAAGTCCAGGGTGAAGTATGGAAGTAACAAAACAAGTCATTTGCTCTGACTCTCCTACTGTAGGCCTACTAATAAGCCTGCAGCTATTTACATTGCAAAGCAGGCAGGATCTATTACATGAGTAGATACATGTCCATTACATACTGATCTGTGTCAGCTGAGAATACAATAACAAGGGTTTCAGTGCATACCAGCATAACGTGAGGGAATAAAGTATATAAGAAATGACTTTACATTTATTACTAAATCACTTTGTGGTAACCCAATGGTGTTTACAATGGCTACAAAAATAAAGACACACATGCATAAGAAACAAACAGACAGGCCTAAAACAAAACGGAAAACAATATGCTTTAATTTTCATACTTATGTTGAATCCAGAGTCTGAATCATACCAGAGAAGGAATAGTTTTGTAAGACCAGACATGGGTAGTTAGTTTGGTCATTTGGTCAGTTCCATTAACTAAAGTTAAAAACTGGTGGATTTTAAATGATAATACTTTTACTGAAGTATATTTGTGTATAAAGTAAACTTTTTACTCAGTTCCATTTTACTTGTTGACAGTATTACTAATCCCTTTTTGTGTTTAATTTCACTATGTTGCTTTATTTATGTGGCACAGTGGCGCAGTGGGTAGCTCTGTCGCCTCACAGCAAGAAGGGCCTGGGTTCGATTCCCGGCCAGGCGACCAGGGTCATTTCTGTGTGGAGTTTGCCTGTTCTCCCCGTGTCTGAATGGGTTTCCTCCGGGTACTCCAGTTTCCTCCCACAGTCCAAAGACATGCAGTCAGGCTGACTGGACATGCTAAATTGCCCCTAGATGTGTGTGTGATTGTATGTGTCTTTCTGTCTGCCCTGCAGTGGACTGGTGGACCCTGTCCAGGGTGTTTCCTGCCTTCCGCCCAATGACAGCTGGGATAGGCTCCAGTTCCCCCTGCAACCCAGAAGGATAAGCGGCTTAGAAAGTGTGTGTGCATGTGTGCGTGTGTGTGTGTGTGTGTACTTTATTTGCCTACTAACCTACCTAGGTCAACAGCTTTGGCCACACCACCACACCAAAATCTTTTTCTTGCTTTTTTTACTTTTCCTTCTTGCACTGATAATGGTACATGATAATGCACATGTTATATTACAGGTGTTGGTGAAGCTGTGTACCCACTGCTCAACTAGCCAGTCCCCTAAAACGGCGCACTCTTGTCAAACAAACAAAGAAAAATAAATAAATAAGTAAATAAATACATAAATATATGGGGAAAAAAAGATGGACATACAGATACACTCCGACAGACATAAACACAAACCTATGACATCTATAATTTAGATTGATATTAGATTGCATAGGAAATATTATCTTTTGTATTATTGCTGTTTTTTATACCTCAGTCCCTCAGTGTCCAGAAGTGGCTTGTCTTAAACATAACACCTGATATCCCATGAATTATGTCACATTGTTGACAACATCTATACTGCTCTACATTATTGATGAGGCCGTTCCTTGCTGTTACTGGTCGGCAGTTCTCTTCATGTACTTCTCCCGTTAATGTTCCATGAAAAATTCACTTATTTTGGCTCTCACCTCCTGCTTCAGACCACGGTCTCTCCCACAGTCCCATGCAAACAGTTTGACATATCCCAATAACAAAGTCTTGTAAATG